AGACGCAGATGCAGTTTTTTTCGTTTTTGCGGGAAATCGAACATATTTTTAGACCCATCTAAAAATTCCCTAAGGGGGCCCAATTCTTGCATTCTGTGAAAACGGGTAAGGTTGACTGTAACGTAATAATCTTTATCTTAGTTATCGTTACTTTTGCCCGAGCAACGCCGGGCCCACCTGCTAGTTATCTAATAAAGCCATATATATATTATCTAATTTGTTGTGAAAAACACTACTTATATATGAATAAATAGATATTTTTTCTTATGAATACATAGATTAGTTTTTTTAATCAAAAAACTTTATTTATGCGAGTACTATTTATTGTTGGCAAGAAAAAATTTTGTGGCTCTTTAAAAACTTTGAAATTTTGTAAATTGTAATTTTTGGCTCTTCCGACTCGAAAGGTTGCCGACCCCTGTACTATAGCCATATGTACCGGTACATCGTTCAAAAGGATCCTACTTATCTCTACTGACAAACTCTTCTTCTTCCTTCTTTTACTTTACCTTTTCTTTCTCTTTACTCTTTACTTTCCTATTCCCCTCACTTTCTCTTTTTCTTTTCTTCCCCTTCCCCACTTTCTCTCATCTTTATTCATCTTTTCCTTCCCTATTTTCTGAAGATAACGCCATAAAAATTATGAATGTTACCGGAAAGTTGAACGACACGTTGCTGGTTTATTTAGTTATAGTTAATTATTATATTATATCATAGTTGTAAACCTCAAAATTCATCACTTCTCTTCAACATATTATACAGCCTAGGCTATATGTTTCTGTATTATCAATTTCAATTATTAATACATAATTAATTTTTACACATACAATTTGATGTTTATGTTACTGTGAATGACCGATATCTGGTGAATGTCAACATTCTCCGGTGAATGTCAGCATTCACACAGTCGTTTCGTGTGTATGTACGAAATATTTGTTAAATATCATTATTTCTCACTTACACCGTCAAATGTCGAAATTCAGCATGCGCTGACGGTAAATGTTGAATAAAAATATTTTTATTATATTAAGACAAAAACTCAACTTTTTAATATGTCAAAATACGAGAAAGCTTAAGTAACAGCACATGTAAATGAACTGTTGAACCTAAAACGAACGGTACATTCTTAACCATTAAAGAAAATAATACAATAATAAACTTACACATAAATTATGTGATTAACGTTATACAATCTTATTTATTGCAACAACTTAAACTGTTATGGCAGTTTGAATTGCACAAGAGTCCTTTGCTTTTACAACTGCATTTGTTCGTGGAACACTTTTTTGCAATGACAGCGTGTATAGCCTTGCCCTCCACTTTTCGAATTAGCTACAGCTGCTTCTCTCAGCGATATTTCTTGAGAAGAAATCTCATCTATGGAAAGTAACTTTTCTGTACAAATTACGAACTGATTACGTTATTACGCGATTACGAACTGATCTGTTAATGATGTCTTTTATTCAGATATCGCCGACGCCTTACCGACGACCCCTCTCATCCTCTGTCACTCTGCCTGACAAACCGATCCCCACCTCACGGGATCAAAAGAACAAAAACGCCATCCAGTGACAAAGTGAGCAGCTTTCACCGAACCGTTGCCGGAAAAAGAGGTACGACCGTGTCCTACCTCCGGCTATCCGCAAAATATTTGGCGATAGACTGTCGCCTCTTTGTCGGCTTCTCGGGTGTCGTTTCGAACTCCACCAAAGCTTATCTGTGCTTGTCAACGTATATTGGCGATTGTTTGAATGTATAATAATATAACCAAATATTCGGACATTCAACTACGTATTTTGTGTGTCAACATTCACCGGAAAATATCGACATTCTCCAATTTCGGTCTTTAACAGTAACATATAGGCCTACATACTTCAAAGGAGTGCAAAATATTCTGTCTTTTTCAAACAAAATCAATTTATAAAACCATAATTAGGAGTAATTGTGTTTTAAAATTTATAAACCTCACTTCCTCAATGCTAAAAACCATATTTTCGATAAAATATACCGTGTAAAATGCTTCAGAAGAAATAATCCCGGAAAACGTTATTTGTAGAGCCACACTGCATGGCATTCCTATTAATAATCATATTCGAATAAATATGTTCTACATAAATATTTAATGTATTTAATATATTTGGTTTATGTATTTTCTAGGAGAAATCTTAATTCGGTTTTCTAACGATGTTAAATCCATGGATGATTTGTTACCTTTCTCTACTTTCCTGCTGATAAGAGTAAGTTAATTTTAGATTTATAGATTTATGTAAATAAATTATAAAAAGTAATGAACATTTAACACGAATGGCCAGTTTCAAAGACATTTTTGCGAATTACACACGGGTGTTTTGTTTACACAAATGTAACACACTAAAAGTAAAATTAGCACTTATTTTTTGCATCTTTTTGTTTATATTATTCATTTTAACTGTTCCTCTGACGCGATCATTTTTAATTCTGTCCTTCGTCACACCACACATCCATCTCAACATTCTACTCTTTACTGTCTTCATTTTTTTTCCGGGCTCTTTTAATTGCTCATGTCCTGGCACTGTACTTCATTGCAGGTCAGGTTATATTTCATTTTTGTGTAATTTTTCTTAGCTTAAGTAAATAAGTTTTTGTGTGTCCTCTTTAATAATGTCTGCACCGTTTTTGTAAAGTTTTGCTTTACATCTTTTTGAACTTCGTCGTTGTTATCATCTCTAAAAAACAAACACGTATAGAACAACAATAGCTCCAGACAACCGTATGTATTATTAATACAGAGATGACACATTTACAGGTAGTGGAAAAATTAGATTAATTATAAAATGTAAATTTTAACATCTCGAATTACTTATTAGCAATTTATACTTTTTAAATTTAGGGATATTTTTTAGTTGTTGGCGCATGTGTTCTTCAAGCGATACTCTGTCCTTATCTATTTATATTGATTGCTGTCCTTTTAGTAATGTTCTGTGCTCTGTGGACCATCTTTAGCCGTGTTCTGAAAAGCGTAAAATATTTGGAAGGAAAATGTGAGTATTTTGAATATAGAACAATTTATTGAATTTAACTTAATTGCATGCAGAATTTTGACCATGGAATTTGTGAACAGGGTTTGCAGACTCGGTAAACATTCTAAGATGCAAAGATACAAAGGAAAAGAATCAAATCGTTTATTTTATTTTATAAGCTATACAATTTTTTAAAAATCATGTTACAAAAGATATATTCATTCTGTACAGAAAAAGAAGGTTTTACTTGTGTCAGAACTTTATTTCTTTGTGACCATTAAATCCAATATTTTATTACTCTTATTTAATACCGTATATAATTACAAATTTTTACGTATTTCTACACATTAGCAACGATAAATCATGAAACAGTAAATTATCTTTGATTTAGATAAACAGATATAATGTATTTACAGGAAACGTTACAACAAGTTACAGGTATTACTGCAAGTTCAGATGTAATAATCTCTTAGAAAAATCTATATATAAATTTAATTTTTCAAAAGACGAACAATTTTCATGTATATTACAAATATTCTGTTACAAGGGAATTCGAAATTATATCGCTTTTTAATGAAGGACTGGTTAACCAATTATGCATGCAGGACATTTATTGTGATGCTTAGAACTATCTAAAATTGAAATTGCGATCAAATTGAACATTGAACGTAAATTCACTTTAGAATTTTTCCAAACGACTTTAACAAAGAAAATAAAACTTCATAACCAACACTTCAAAGCATTGTAGAGAGAAATTTCTTTTACCGTTATAATTGAGAATTTCAAAATATTATAGGAAAATAATAAGTTGTTCAAGAGTGGGAAGTAAACAACATGTCTCCTAATAAACCAGATTAATACTTATCTCAAATGCTATTGCGCATAGATCTTCATTTCCAATAATAATGTTCTAAAGCAAGTCGAAATTACTGCATTCTACATTGCAAAATTTGAATGGTCGTGTAACTTCTCATAATGAGGTACAGTTTAAAAAGCATAATTTCGTATGGTAATATGTACACAGAAGGCATTGATGCTATAATATTTTAGTGGTTAAAGCCGAGGGGTTCAGAGATAATCTTATATGTTTTATTTCAAGCGTGGAGTCTTAATGCAAATTTAGATGGTTATTTGCATTTATAATTTTCTAAAACTTTATTTTTAATTCGAAAATTAAGCGTTTTGCCATATTATAACATTTAATAATATAAAAGTGTTTATATAAAAACTCACAAGGCACGGTTTCACAATAATTGTAACTTTTGTGCAGAAGTGTCTTAGCGTTTCAGAAAAACTAACAATTTTTCAACAAAAACTCATGCGAGTCGTAGCTGTATTTTTTGCAGTACACATATTCGTCACGTAGAATGATCTCCAAATCGAAATTCATAAAGTCAAAGAATGCTGCGATTAACAAGCTACAACTATTTAGCTTCCACGTTCTCATTAAAAACACTTTATTCTTCTCTTCATCGTGAATATTCGCTGTAAAACCTAGAAATCAACTACGTTACATATTGGTCCTTTTTTATCTGCAAGAAAGTTTTACGACAATGTTTACTACTTTTTTATTGCATTTGTTTGAGATAGCAACCTAAAGCAAACTACAGCATTTAATCGCAGGGTTGTCCAATCTTTTCTTCTAATGAGCCAAATTAAAAAATTTGGTATAATCTGTTGGCTACAAAGGTACTATATATAAATATATAAATATAAGCTTTTAAAAACTTTAAAATGTTAGTAAGAAATTTAATTAATTAATAGCAAATATATATAATTACAAATAATATCGTATTGTTGGCAGAAATAAAAGAAATTATATTTGCACAAAATAAAAGTGAGTTAAATGCTATTTTTGACATTGTCTTTCGTTTATAATATTGTTAATATCTGCTTTTGTGGTACTTGTCTTAATTCTAAGAATGCTAGTTGAATGGGAATCACTCGATCTATTTTTTTTTCGGCAGTTTTGATGTTTTTCGTGCACAAAAAGAATTGTTCACGACAGTATGTACTACCCCAGGTGCATAACAGTTTTTAAGAAAAATGTACGACTCCAACAAATTCATTGTAAGAATAAACTTCTTTATAAAATTTAAGAATATTCTCTATGATAAGTTTTTAAAGAAAGATTCCCCGCGTTTAAGTCCAACGAGTTATACGGCTGGTGCTTCACATAATTAAATAAAAATGGATTACTAAACAATTTTAATTCAGTTTCTGTTTTTGAAGTAAAAAAATCTTCTTAAATCTTTTAAGAAAACTTCGCATAATTTACTCTATTTTTTAAAGTACACAGGAATTTTTTTTTAATAAACTCTGATGTTTTTTAATAAACTCTAATGTTATCTGCCTTATTTCCCATGATAAAATTGCTGTGCAATTTTATCATGGGAATTTTTATCAGCAATTTTATCATGGGAAATAAGGCAGATAACATGTTTCAATTACGAAATTCTTTTCTGGCCAAGAAATATTAAATTTTCTGTTGGTTTAGTATAATATGCAACGATCAAATGCTGGGTTATTAAAAATATAAATTTAAAGTTGATGAAATAATTTTCAATATAATTTGCAGTTGAAAATATTTAAATTATTACTTTAGCAAAAGTAATACATAGATAGACCGATGGCTGAATTACCTGTAATTATAAAAAATGCCCGAACTGTATATGTCTAATTTATTCTTTATAAATATAAACAATAAGTCTGCCCTTTCCACTTTGTCATTCAGCCTAGCTTCTGGTCACTAAAAATGGCTGATACTTTTTCAAAAGAGGGATTGTGTCCTTTTTATTTGCCTCATGAAAGGTATCCATTCTTTATCACTAACATCACTTCATTTAAAAAATCATCGAAAATAAAACAATCAAAATCACAGACCACGCTGCCAACGTTTTCGTTTGGTGAGGTATGTATTATGACACTAATATTGTTATTATGACATGAAAGTGTTATAAGTGAAATGAGAATAATTTTTATGTCATACTTTACAAAAATAAATGAAAATGTACCTAAAAAATTTAGGATGCAAAAGGCTGCATCAAAATATAAAGTGGGCCATAGTGCGACCCGGGGACCACAGGTTGGACATCCCTGATAAAGAAGAATGTTTTCTTCTAGTTTTTGATTTATATAAATTGCACAATGTTCTCCTCGCATTTTAAGTTCTATGCAAATCTGATCAGTCATTTGTTAACTCCTTGGGACTTTACTAATTTTTGATATTAATGTAATTAAACGTAAAAAATACTTAAAACTGAAAAAAACGAAAGAAATGCGTTAATTTTGAAGAAAAAGCTTCAAAGTTTAACTTCCTTTGTCTCCCCTTTCTGCGAAATCTGACACCAATAAGTCATTGTTTACACAGCTGGATGACCTTGAGAACATCTGGTGTCGGATTTCCCGGGACATTCTCATAGATGTCTCGGGAAGACGAGGATTTAAAATAGGGTGAATACTAGCTAGCGGTATATTTTTAAATATTTTAAGAAATTTTAAATTTTTATTCCGATTTCCGACCTCCCCCCAATTTAATTAAACGTATTTATAATAAAATATATGAATTAAAAAAATTAAAACACTTTTGAAGATCGTTTTTGATATCAGAAAGTAGCTTGAAATAACTACCGAAGTCAAATCCGTGCACTAAAAGTTTAGAACGATGAATGAAATTTGATTTAAAAAAATCCGATTAAAAACAATTAAGCGTTAATCGTGCATCATTAAAGGTAGATTAAAATCGTGATAAAATTTTTTCGCGCGGGAAAAAATTTTTGAAAAAATTTGGAGACTTAAAAAACATCCAAAAATCCCCCCCAAAAATAAAATTTTTTCATACGGTCCAAACGCACGAGTTTTATGTAACTCTATGGAACTTGCCCGAGTTATAGATTAATATGTTCTGGTGCTTTCTTAAATGCAGTAAATTAATAATTATTATATATAAAAAGTAAAATAATTCGATTCTATAATGCAAACCTTGTAAAATACTTGAATTATATATAAAAATTTTTTTTGACAGTGAGAAGTCCAGTATTTTCTCATCTGAGTGTATCGCTTTACGGACTGACGACAATTAGAGCATTTAAAGCTGAAAGCAAATTTAAATCTATGTTTAATAAGTATCAGGATAAGCATACTTCAAAGTTGTTTATTTACGTGTGTTTAGTTCGATGGATTGTAATATACGGTCACATAATTTCTTTTATAAATCTAATTATTACTGTTATTATTTTCGCTGTTTCAAATAATTCAGGTGGGTGAATATATTTAAATGTCCGAAATCTATAATATAAATATTTTTGAATTTATATTTGCTGATTTAGCTGAAGCAGGAAGCAAAATTGGACTTATACTGAATTACGGAATAATAATAATTTCGTATATTCAATTCCTTATTGCATTTACATCTGAAATGGAATTTCAGGTATTGCATATCTAATCAATCCGATAATTATACCAATTATCAAACGAACAGCCAATTGCTTTATCGGACCATATCCAATTTTTCGAAACACAGAAGATCTTCTTATCGTGTCTTGTTCACACGTTTTTGTATTATTCTCTAAAAAATATATGAAGAGAATAAAGTCCAATAAGGGAATTCCGGAGTTGGTTTGATAATTCTGGCATTATTTGTTTAAAAAGTTAGTAATCATTTACTTAATAATTAATTGTTATGTCTAGCACTAGTGTATGTATATTACTATTAGAATGCAGTTTTTTCAAAGTAAGAAAAAACAACTTTAATTTTTCCCATTCATAGTTCAGAAATGAACGGCAAGTTTTCTTCTAAAAAACTCGATTATCGTATAAATTTTCCAAAATTACGTTTTGCAAACATACAAAACAGTTAAATCATATCTTCAAACTGAGTACAGATTGTTTTACATGAGTTACAAATAAACCGTTTACGGCATTAATATTTCGCTTTTACATTTCACAAACATTGGCAATTATAATTACAGAGAATTTATACAAAAGCTGTACAATTACGAGATATTATAAAATACAGTTGATACAAAGGTTAATATTAAACAGAAATAATTTTATGAGTAAAACAGTTACAATAAAAGTTTGTATTCTTTACGTACAAAGGCGTAGATGATTACAGTTACAGTCGAAGCAGAAGTAGTTTTATTGCCACTGATCATTAAATACAAATTTATTACTAACATTTTTTATATAATATTTTTAGTCGCAAAGTATAGCGCGTTGTGTTCCCTATCAGAAAAGTTCTCATGGCCAGCTTTTAGTTTGAAATTAGCCACTTTGCGGATTTTATTTATTACAAGATTTGCGTTCCCATACTTATTTTCAAAAATAAAGGTACATCTCGCTATCCAGTTGACCCTCTTGGTTAAAGCAGTAACCTGATTAATTAAGTAATTATTTTGGTTTTTAACAGGGAAATTAGAGTGAAACTTAATGTTTTGTCAGGAGATACAGGTATTAAAAATTTCGTCTACCCAGTGCCAACTTTGTTTAGCGATGTGGCACTCAAAAAAGATGTGAAAGATACTCTTGATATGATCACATCGAGGACAACGGATAAAACGTAAACGCTGGTAGGTCTGAAGATACTCCCTAGTCATCACGATATTGTTCAGAATTTTTCACGTGAGTTCTCTCCATTCAGCAGGGAGCCTCCTAACATTAATCCAGGTCTCATTTTAATTAATCGTAGTATCCGTGAGATTTTTGTTGACACTTTGCTTCTGAATGTTTATGTACACTGTACTGGGCCTTAATTTATTACAAACTTGGTCATTATTAATTTTGGTAGTAACAATTTCTCTCCATTTTTTGTATTTACT